TTTTCTTTATGTTGCACAATTATAGTGCAAGAGTTCATGCTCTTTCAGTGCCTTTCTATATTGGTGACAATGGCATCCTCCATTTCTTGTAACGGCAACACAGGGAGCGGAAGTGAGGAATAATCCCCGGTAGGGTCACAGATAGAAATAATCTACAATAATAACCTGACAACAAAAGTTTCACAAAAATAAATAGGCTGGGGTTAATGTTTAACTATAACTCTTTGATACACGTCAGCCTAAAGCAGGGGTGCCCACAATTTTTCATCTGGAGATCTAATTTTCAAATGAAGATCTCAGCGAGATCTACCAGCGAAAAAAACACCTTTATTTAGAAAACAAGCACATTAAAATCGTTACTGGAACTATTGCCTCCCTCTCTGCCGTCTCTCTCTGGGCCAGTTCACACCACAAAGTCTGCGTTTCAGAGCATTCAGCCTCTGGAACGCAAGCCGGCCAGCTCCCTGCATTCAGGGGTAGGAGGGGGCGTGGCAGTGCATTGAAGTCAATGGCACCGCAGCTATGCCCCCATAGTGCGATCGCCCGCACCTGGAATGCAGGCGCATTAGTGCCTGCATTCCAGCGCGATCTGCAAAAATGATGCATGCACTATTTTTGCAGATCGCACTGGACCGGAATGCAGGCACTAATGTGCCTGCGTTCTGGGTGAGGGCAATCATACTGCCAGTGGGGGTGTGGCTGCAGTGCCATTGACTCAAATGCACTGCCACACCCCCTCCTGCAGGGAGGCGGCCGGCTTGCGTTCCAGAGGCTGAACACTCAGAACGTAGACTTTGTGGTGTGAATCAGCCCTCCCTCTCTGCTGTCTCTCCTCTTTCTCTGCTGTCTCTCTGCTGCCTCGCTCCTCTCTCTCTGCTGCCTTGCTCCTCTCTCTCTCTGCTGCCTCGCTCCTCTCTCTCTGCTGCCTCGCTCCTCTCTCTCTGCTGCCTCGCTCCTCTCTTTCTCTGCCGTCTCTCTTCTCTCTCTCTGCCGTCTCTCTTCTCTCTCTCTGCTGTCCCTCTCCTCTCTCTGCTGTCTCTCTCCTCTCTCTGCTGTCTCTCTCCTCTCTCTCTGTTTGTTGTTTCTCGTGGCTGTCTTTCCTTACCTGCACTGAAGCAGCTTCCCGGGTTTCCTCTCAGGTGCGGTGTCCTGTCCTCCCGCGGTGCTCGTGTTGCCGAACTGGGAGAGGTGTCCCGCCCCTTCCCGTCTGCATCATTTGACACATTCACCCGCACGAGTACTGCGGGAGGGAGCTCAGGTAAGTGAGCCGATCTCGATCTACCAGTGTTCGCTTTGCAATCGACTGGTAGATCGTGATCGACCTAATGGGCACCCCTGGCCTAAAGGTTCTTTTAGACTGAATGCAATTAAATCTGTGCCTAGAGCATTCCCTGGCTTTTGTAGGATTTCCAGAAAGTTACCATGGGATGAATCCCCAAAGGTTAAAACTAAAATTTCCAATGTGGTTTTCCCCTCAATCAGATGGCTCTGATTTTTATTTTGACTCCCAGAATTGAAAAAAAAAAAAAAAGTATACGACAAGACTGTAAATGCCTTGAACAACGTACATCAAGGACAGGATATTATGAGCGACAACAATTTTCTGCAGAAAAGTTCTACAAATTTTCACAATTATTTTGCAGCGCTCATGAACTGTGAACACAGGCACAACACAGTTATTGAATAATTTGCATTACCCGTATTAAAGGAAAGCTGTGCATCCTCTTGTAGTCCGCCTCATCCTTCTTGCTCTCTCCAGGATCTGCCATTCCTGTTTTTCTTTATGCTGCAGCACTCACTGTATACCTTTAAGTTGTACAAAACAGAACATACAGTACATAGGAGGATACTATAAAGAACCATCAGTGATAAGGTATGTGCTTAGTTTCCTAAAGAGGCACAAAATGTTCAACATATTGCAAGATAAACAGAGAGTGTCTCAGTTTCTTTCACCTACATTTAACCATGAAAGGTGCACTGATCTTGATATCAAACATTGCTGCAAGTCCTGAATGCACAAACAGAACAAAGGGAATCAAAGGTTTTAGATGCCCACTGCTCAATGTATAAACTTCAGGGCCACCATTGTGCCGTTTAAATGTATTTTTACTTGCAAACAATGGCAGGCTAAACATTAAAGAGCACAACTCCTCTTTGTATCACCAGGGCAACGGCAGATAGGATTGCATCTACAAGGTAATGAAAAAAGGGCCTTACAATTGATATGACAGCTCATTAGTTTTCCATATGAATCACCACACATTAAAAGACAAAACTAAAATCAAATTATATTTAATTTCACTTAAAGTGGACCTTTACCCATATATTTAAAATAACAACTAACACACCTTTATTGATGTTTAGTAATGACAATCTACAAACACAAACTTCAAGATTACTGCAGGCTTTGTACTCTGTGCATACCTTATTAATCTTTTCTTCCCCAGTCTTCTGACAGTGGCAATGTTTACTAAGGGCAGATTAATAGCTCTCCTTTAACTTCCTGGATTTCTCGCACATGTGACTAGGACACATGAATATGCACATCCCCTCAGGGGAGGAAAATGCCTTTCCCTGAGATCTCCTCAGATTTCACAGCAATGCTCTGCTGATGACAAGGCAATCCCAGTGTGCATTGCTTTGGCAAACTGAAGTCATTTTGCCCTTTCAAAGCAGGAAGCGAATGCTCTGCAAATGTAAGTATTTCAAAATCACAGCATTTTACACCTGACATGTCTATGTTAAATATTAATCATCATACATAGAGGCATGCATTGGTAGAATTAGATTTTTGAGTGTAAAAGGTTCGCTTTAAGAAAAATGCTGGCTGCAAAACCCACCAAGGTAATAGTCACATAATCAGAGAACAGCGACAAACATACTGGGCATTATACATACAGGTTATGGGAGTGCCAAAGTTCAGGAAAGACAAAGATCTTGTAGCATTAAGTATTTCCTAATTGCCTTTTAGATTGTAAGCCCTCACGGGCAGGGCCCTCCTTACCATCTTGTCTTGATTTGCATTGTGATTGTAATGTCTGCCCTATACTGTAAAGCGCTGTGCATTGTGATCTATTATATAGATCCTGTATAATAATAATAATAGCTAAAAGGTTCCTATATGCAGAATGTTTATTCAAATGGAAGTGGCTTCTTTGCCTTTAAAGAAAATGACCAAATTGATTGGCTAAGCCAGAAGTCTTCAACAAATTCAGTTGAATTTGGGTGCTGTATTGTCACAGAAGCCATTTGGTTAGTACAGCAGCAAGTCAGCTACCACTTCAGAAGGGCATCAACAGTGACTGCCCACATATTTTTTCTTAGCACAGGTTTACTTAGGGGAAAAAAAAATTCTGTTATAAACTTACCGATAACGGGAGTTCTATGAGTTTTCCAGGACAGCAACCTGAGAGATGATTGGCTCCTCCTACTACAGGAAACACAATTTTAAAAAATGGTTGAAAATACGCTCCCACCCCCTCGTTCCTCAGTTGAGATAAAAGTATACTACCTCCACCAGTACACAAGGGAAAACAATCACACACCCACTAAAAACATAGATGCACAAACCAAATTCAGGGTGGGAAGTAGGCTTGCTGTCCTCGAAGACTCCTAGAAATCCCGTTATCGGTATGTTTATAACAGAACATTTCTCCAAACATCTTCCAGGCCAGCAACCTGAGAGGATAAGCAAGCATACATCATGCAAGCCTACCTTTTCAGGGCGGGACAACTGCTTGAAGCACCATTGGACCGAAAGTGAGGGCCTGCTGCAACAATACTTGGAACACGGTAATGCCTCATGAAGGCATCTTGTCGTGACCAGACGGCTGCCTTGCACATCTGGTTCACCGATGCCCCAGCCTTTTCTGCCCAAGATGTGGCCAACGCTCTAGTAGAATGAGCTTTAATAGAGGAAGGAACTTCCTGACCCTCTGAACGATAAATACATGCTATTACCTCTCTAATCCATCTGGCCAAGGTGGCTTTTGAGGCCTGTAAACCCTTTCTGGCCCCTGAATAGAGAACAAAAAAAATGGCTGGACCTTCTAAAAGATCTAGACTTCTCTAGATAGTTGATCAAGCACCTCCTGACTTCTAGGGAATTAAAAGCTTCTTCTCTAGGATCTTTAGGATTATCACAGAAAGAGGGAGAATAATCTCCTGAGACCTATGATACTGGGAAGATACCTTCGGCAGGTATAAAGGATCAGGCCTCAGAATAACTCCATCCGGCAGTATGACCAAATAAGGATCTTTGGTAGAAATCGCCTGCAGATCCCCAATTCTCCTAGCCGAAATGATGGCTAACACAAATACCATCTTTAGTGACAACCACTTCATAGAGATATCCTTTATCGGCTCAAACAGGGGTTTAGAGAGGCCACCCAACACCAAAGACAAATCCCATGGAGGAAACAATTTATTTTTCAGCGGGCAATGACGCTTCGCAGCTAAAATAAACCGCTTAATCAATGGATCTTCTAACAATTTAAACTGCAAAAAAACAGACAGAGCCGAAAGCTGGACTTTCAACTGTCTGACCGCCAACTTTTTGTCCAGGCCTTCCTGTAAAAAATCCAAGATGACAGGACCATCAGGAAAAGACCGTCCAGACCTTACTATACATTTTTCTTGTAACAGTCTTTCTGCTAGAAAGAAGGGTATCAATGACTTTATCAGAACAGCCCTTACTTGCAGTAAGCCACCTCTCAAAAGCCAGGCCGTCAACCGAAAGAAATCCGGGTTCGGATGGACGACCGGCCCCTGAGACAGCAGATCCCTCCGCAAAGGCAACCCCCAAGGAGGGAGGATAGACCAAACTTGTAGCTCCAAGAACCACGTTCTCCTGGGCCACCAGAGAGCTATCAGAACTAGGGTACAAGGTGATCTGCTCAACTTTTGGAGTATACGAGGCAGAAGAACCAGAGGAGGAAAAGCGTACCCCAGACTGAATTTCCAGTCCTGAGCCAGCGCATCCACACCCCTGGACTCCTCCTCTCTGCCTAGGGAATAAAAAGCAGGTGTTTTTCTGTTGAGACTGTTCGCGAACAGGTCCACTTCCGTCTGTCCCCACAGGTCTACAATTTGCCCAAACACATCCTGGTGAAGTTCACACTCATTCTGGTGTATGCGCCTGCGGCTCAGAAAATCTGCAGTCTCGTTGCAAACTCCCCTTATGTGGACCGCCGAAATTGAAACCAGAGACTCTGCCCAGAGAAAGATCTCTTCTACTCCGTGCAAAAGTGCCGGGGATCGGGTTCCCCCTTGGTGATTTAAGTAAGCCTCCATGGTGGAATTGTCCGAAAACACCTTCACTTCCTTCCCCACCAGACTTTCCTGGAAGGCTAGAAGCGCTTCCTTCACTGCTGTCAATTCCCTCAAGTTTGAGGAAGCTGTTACCAGGTTTTGAGGACAGGGATCCTGAGCATACATCCTTAACGTATGTGCCCCCCAACCCCAAGAACTTGCATCTGTTGTGTCATGAACAGGGTCTGTCTGACCCCAGTCTGCCCTGCATCAGCCATTCCCGGGACATCCACCAGGAGAGGGACTCCCGAACCTCCTCTGGAAGACAAACATTCTGCTCCAAGGAGTCTCTCCTCCTGTCCCACCAGGACAGGAGGAACATTTGAAGACATCTGGAATGGAACTGAGCCCAGTTGAGAGCCGGAATTGCGGAGGTCATAACTCCCAACAGTTGCATTATCTCATTCAAAGTCAGAGAGATGAAGGACCGGGCGGCCCGAGACATCACAAGCTTGAGGATTTTTTCCTCTGCCACCGAACACACTCTGTAGCCCAGGAAGACTACCGACTGGGCCAGGGTCAGGAAAGATTTTTTCATATTTACAATCCAGCCGAGATGTTCCAGTAAGTCTTTGACTGTCTGCAGGCTTGACAAGACTTCAGTCTCTGACCGGCCATAAATAAGTAGATCTTCCAGATACGGAATCAGGCAAATGCCTTGGAGGCTCTGCTAGAATCTTCGTAAATATTCTGGGAGCCACCGAAAGCCCAAAGGGGAGTGCCCGAAATTGCCAGTGAGCTATTCCTACATCTGTCTTGATCGCGAAACGCAGAAATTGTTGATGCTCTATACAAATGGGTATATGCAGGTAAGCATCTCTCAAATCCAGGGTGCTCATAAGAACCGATTCCCGAGTTTGCGACGTACCGAGTAAATGCTCTCCATTTCGAAATGTTTGAAAATCAGATATGGATTCATTTTATTCAGATTTAAGATCATCCTGAATTTGCACCAGAAACACATGGGAATAGAACCCCAGAAACTCCTGCCCCGCGGGGACTGGGACTACCACATACTGTGAGGATAGAGTCTGAACACAATCGCTTAACGCGTGAGCTGCCCCTTTCTTTGGGCAATCTTGTGAGAAAAAAGGTTTGTGACGTGACGTCACATCCCTTAAAACGAGCCCTTGGAACGCACGGCACGCTGCCGTGCGCTGCACCACCACGCGCGGACCGCCCTACCGCACAGAAGCCCTGGACCACACACAGACGGGGCACTTCAGCCTTGGGCTTCAGGCTCCTTCCAGCCTGGCTAACAATAGAGGAAGGACCGCCTGGAACAGAAGGGGAAACCCCTCTGCAACCGCAGCAAGGCAACCGGCAATAGGAGGACCAGTGGCAGAGCCGCACAGAGGGGGGGCCAGTGACCTCAAGGCCGACCGGACCAAGGAAAATAATAAACGTGACGCAGTGATCCTGGAGGTAGGAAACACAAAAAAACTGAGGAATGAGGGGGTGGGAGCGCATTTAACCATTTTTTTAAATTGTGTTTC